ACCTGCTCTAGTGGAAGGTGTCCCTGCCCGTGGCAGGGGTTGGAGCTGGATGATCTTAAGGTCCCTTCCAACCCAAACCGTTCTATGATCCTATCCTCCAGCTCCACCCACTCATTTGCCAAGGCAGCTCTGAGCCCATCTCCCTGTGCTCTCTATGAAGGTGTTGGACCTTACCAGCCTCCTTTTGTTCCTGGGAACGAAGTTGAGATCTTTCCCACAGTGCCTACAACCTCCCTCGCTGCCCCAGCCCTCCCCTGGCTGCTCAGTGGTGGGACTGTGCCCTCCACCGCAGATCCTCCAGCTCCACCCACTCATTTGCCAAGGCAGCTCTGAGCCCATCTCCCTGTGCTCTCTATGAAGGTGTTGGACCTTACCAGCCTCCTTTTGTTCCTGGGAACGAAGTTGAGATCTTTCCCACAGTGCCTACAACCTCCCTCGCTGCCCCAGCCCTCCCCTGGCTGCTCAGTGGTGGGACTGTGCCCTCCACCGCAGCGGTAGGGCAGGGGCCAGCTCTTGGGAGGCCTCTCCACTTCATCTGGGCAACTTCTATCCCTCACTCACCTGCCCAGGCTTGATCTCTGGGTTGGGACCATTATAGCCTTTGAGTTTGGAGGTCCGAAACACGTTGTCAATGTCCCCAAAGGAATAGACACAAACAGCAGAGCTTCCCCTGCAGACAGTGAGACAAAGAGAGAGGGTCAGGAGACATTGGCCATCCCAATAGAGCTGGAGCATGGCTCTGTGCCTCGTGCTGTTGCTGACTATGTCCTCTCTGGTTATTTTGCACCCACATGCTTGCCAGGGAGGATAAAGGGCTGTTGAACAGGACATGCCCCTGCTTTGCAGGGACCCTCACCACGTGTTTGTGAAGAGCCCATAGACCTTGGAGTGCCTCCAGTCACTCGCAGGGACAAAGAAGACATCCTGCAACCAGTTGAAGTTGCCCTTGGTGACTGGGTCGACACAGATCAAGCTGGCCTTCAGGAAGGTGGTCCACTTGGAAGCAGAGAGCGAACTGGTTCCCCCTTTATCTTCCTGCAGGGAGAGGAGAAGCAGGGAGTGAGGGTTTAGCAGAGAACACAAAGTCTCCTCCCTGTCCAGCATCTTGGATGGGTAACAGGGATGTTCCAGAGGTACATTTGATGCTGGTTACTGCAACAATCATGTACCTCTCTAACATCCCAGTGAGACATCTTGCCTACATGCAAGATGGGAGCCAGAGGATGGGAAAGCCGAAGGGTATGGCTATACCCCATATGAACTCTGTGGCACAAGACAGAGCTGAGACAGAGGGGCCAAATCATGTCCCCATAACACCAAGTGAGCTGGCATGTCCATTTGCCACCCCTGAAACATCCTTGCCTCCCCACCACACTCTCTTCCTGTGATACCTTACACAGCTGGGCCACTCGAGAGATGTTTCTAGGGGCCTCAGGACTCTTATCTGGGTTGTCTTCACGGAAGAAGTAGTAAATCTTGCCCTGGTGAGGCTCTTCGTGCCTTAATGTGGTGGCTTTGACAAACTGAGGGTCTGTAAAGAGAAGGGAGCTGTCAGAAAACCTTGGCCTGAACACATTTCATCTGTTCTCTCTTCTTGTTTCAGCCCATCCTCCCTCCTTGCACAGCAGAACTTTCATCATGGAGCTTCCTCAGTGGGAGCAAGCTGCACTCTTGTTTGTGTTCCGCTGTGGAAAACCCAGTGATGCTCTTCCTATTAACACACCACTGCCACAAAGGGCATCCCCAGCAGCAGCAGGTCCCTCTGAGCATCATTAGCTGGCATCCCCTTGGCAGGGAGCTCTGTGTAAGTGTGGGACCAGCCTTGTGGCTCCAGCTCTATCAGTTTGGTTGCTGGTGCTTTGGTTGCCTCCTCCATTGCCTTGCAAGTTCTGTTTTGCCCTGGTTTGATCCTTTCCTTTGTCCAGGGGTTCAGGAATCTCCTATTTCCCAGTGTTCCAATGAGCTCATAGAAACTAAGGAGGGTCCTTTTTCCCTGTTCCCCACCCAACATGTTCCTGCTTCAAGGTCTTGCCCTGGCTGGGGGTTTGGAAAGAGTCACTGCCCGGAGTGGAAGCTGTTCTTCCTGTTTCTATTACAGCAGATGACGGGCAACTTTACACAACCCTGTTTCCTTCCAGCATCTGCCAGGGGACTGGCCACACATTTCTCTCTATTTCCCCATCTCCTCACCCCGAGCAAGAGGCACTCACTTGTCAGTTGTTTTGTCCTAGAAGCAAAGAGGTGACCCGGCAGCAAGAGAGGACAATCCCCTCCCTGCTGCGCTGTGTGCTTAGGGCCCACAGATGTGGGCTGACAAAGAGCCCAGCTTATCTGCCTGGTGGGGCAAGGTGGCAGGTCCCACGCGTTCAGCATGTCCCCTGTACTCACTCTGCATCACCGTGTCGCTCGTGTAGAGCTCTCCTCCCCCTCTCACTCGACGGAACCTGGGTATCTTGCCGTTCTGCTGGCTCTTCTTGATGGTGGAGTAGATGTCGTGACCTGCGGAGTAGGAAGGCTCATTGCAGCAGACGGTTTCCAGCGGGGTTTGTGAGAAGAAAAAGAACTCTCTGGACTCACAGAGAGGGTGGACACGGGACAGGATACCCAGTGCCCGCTGCCTAGCACTGAGTCCTGGCAGGACTCCCACAGCCCTTTTCCCTAAAGAGCACAGGGACAAGTTTTGTTCTGTCTCTGGGAATGATGCTCATCCATCCCTCTGCCAGGCCCAGAGCAGTGGAGCTACTGCAGGAGCCTCCTTCCCTGCTGTCTCCATTGCACTCTACCCCCCGACAGAGACTCAACCCCCATGCCCCGGAGAGGAATGAACAACCTTGTGCCATGCAGGGGCTTGGAACTAGATGATCTTAAGGTCCTTTCCGACCCTAACTATTCTATGATTCTACGCTCTGCCCTAGAAGGTCGTGCATTTCAATGTGACAAAAGCAAGAAAGGCTAAGGCTGATCCCCAGCTACAGCAGAGGGACAAAGAGCCCTTGGAGCAGCCCCAAGGCGCCCCTGTTTGGCACAGAGAGCCCAGCCTCCCTGCACAGCACTGGGAACACATGAGGAGCCACACTTACCATCAACAACGACGAGGGTATTCGAGTCGGGGGTGAAGGGAGCAATACCTCTCCCATCCCATGGAGTGCTCTCCTTCCTCTGCGTCTGGGTAAGGACAGAAATGGTCCCTGAGTGTCATCGGTTCAGGGAAGGCAGGGGAGCCAGGGGCCCACATCCACCCCTGGGGCAGGAGGAGAGCTGCTCTCCTTGGCTGGCACAACCCAAAGGAGGGGAGGACCCATCATCAAATTGGCCATGCAGAGTCCCTGCTGCAGGCAGGACAAGAGGACAGGGGAGCTGTGACAAGTGAGCATGGAGGTGGCATGTGCAGACCTCTGCTCATGATGAGCTCCTCGAGGGAGATGGTATTTGGGCATTGCAGATGTTGGAAGGGGGATCAGGGCATCATTTCACAGATGGAGACAGCACAGAACAAAAGAGCGAGGGCTTTGCTCTGGTGCCATCAGAGGTGGCCACAGCGTACCAAGTTCCAGCAGGTGGGAGAGCAGGCACCAGTGCCACACACTAACATCCCATCTCCATACTTCTCCACTAATGTGAGGTAATTCTTATTGTCCTCCTGAAAGAGAAAGAAGAGGAGCATAAGCAGCACTGCTGTGTGGCTTCCTAGAGTTTTCACGGGTCTTAAAACCAGAGGAGGAAACCAGTATCATTGCATCTGATCTCCTGCTCCACAAGCACTGTAGGTCTTCATCCAGAGACAGCACATGACAAGCATACACAGTCCATTCCCAAGCAGTCCTTCAGTTCGAGTCCTCCAACCCTCACCCATCTGCTGTTCCACCACAGGTAGGACTTACCGAGCTCCCGGGTGTCACGCACTGTCCTTCATTTTTCACTGGGAAATCTTCCTGGGATAAAAGAGAAAGAGATCTGCTTGAATTCCTTCCCTTCAAAGCCAACTGAAGTGGGCTCAGCCCCAGGCACTACATGCTAGTCACCCTCTCCACAAGAAACAAGGCAAGCACGTCAGTGGGGCCATTAGACAGTCCTTCTCCACACCTCCGTACCCGAAACCCCTTGGGGATGCAGGCTGGAGCTCTCAGGCCCCCGAGGCGATGGGGAGAAGCAGTAGCATGACTGGCAGCCAGCCTGGGCTGCTTGCCACAGGATGTGGGGAGAGGGTCTGTCATTGCAGAGCATGGATGTTCAATAATGGGTGATGGCATCCAAGGGATGGGACACGTGAACCACACTGTTCCTGGAAACAAGAAGGGAAGTGTCTGGGTCCAAACGTCAGCAACTGACTTGTCTGAGAAGGGCAAGAAGGGGTAATGAGAAAGGCAGCTAGGGCAGTTTCCTGCTGTAGTAACTCGGTGTCCAGCTGATCCAGAACTTCCTGCCTTTGAGGAAAAGCAGCCTGACTTCCAAAAATGGAAAGGGTTGGGAACGTAGGTTTTCCCCAGTGACATGAGCCTGAGCATCCCTGCTCACACTAAAGAAAGCGTCCTTCATGGGAAGAATCCTCCCTCTTGGGCACCAAAGACCTCCGGAGGATCACAGCCTGGGAAGAACCCACCCATAGCTAGCGGAGGAGACTTCACCCTTGCTGCAGCCATTCACCCTACAGATGCTGGGGCTTCCTGGATGAATGGGACAGGCCAGGCAGAGACCAGACCCTCCCAGGGCTGACTTCACTGCTGGCAAACAGCCTGAGCAAGGAACCTAGTGTTTGGGCTGTGAGATGGATGCTGGACACTTTGTTATAGAGCTCTGGGGCCAAACTTGTTAGCAGAGTAGCATCCTTACCATGTAGTTCTCAGAGGTTGCAAAGTCGTAGTAGTAAAGCTTTCCCTCTCCCCCGATGTAGATGGCCGAGGTGTTTTCTTTATGATAGAAGACTGGGTACTTCTCACTCCTGGGAAACACATATTCCTTTGCACCTAGAACAACACAGAGGAGACACTGGTCAGGGCAATGGAAGCACCCGCAGGCAGCTCAGGCTGATCCATTCCCTTTCCATGTCCTCGGTGTGAGTGGTGAGGAAAACAAGGACGCAGGGCTGGGGCCCCGCAGGGATGCCTGGCCTGGCTCCAGGCAGGCAGGGAAAGGCAGCTCCCAGGCTCAGAGCTCAGCTATTGTCCCCTTGGCCCCAGGGATCAGGAGAGCTGGAGCAGGACACAATAGAGCAGCCCTGCCTCATCCCCAAAGGGCTGGTGATGGAGGACGGAGGAGGAGGAGGAAGAAGGGAAACTTCGCTGCTGAAGCTCTGTAGAGAGCAGAAGCTCAGTGACTTAGAAGTGGCTCCTTCCCACCTGCCCAGTGCCTCCTGCCTCCCAGCGTGGAGACAAAGGGCTCCCTTCCCTCTCTGCCCACCCTCTGGCAACCCCTCCAGCCAGCTGCCTCCTCAACGTGGCTCCTGCACCCTCTTGAATTTGCCATGCCTTTCAGATGGGGATCAACCTCCCCATGCCCATCACCTCCCACCAGCCCCAGCCCAGCATCACACCTCCCCTCGCCAGCCTCCAGCTGCACCGCCAGCATCCTCCCTCCACGGGCCAGGAAGGATGGACGGGGTTTGGAACCATGTGTGACAGGGCAAGGGTGCACAAAAACCTGCAGCTCCACCTCCACCCCCCAGATGTGAACAAGAAGTGAGCTGCAAGAGCCAGGACCCACGTCACAGCCGGTTGCTGCAGATGGGAAGCTTTGCAGGCCCAGCCGGGAGGAAGAACTGCTTGTCCTTCCCCTCTCTCCTTCCTCTTTCACCTTCCAGCTTTTCCAGCTCCTCTTCCCTAAAAACATCCTCTTTTTACCTCTGCGTTGCCAACTCAGGTGTGGGAGGCTGGACCCGCAGCGCAGTTCTGAGCCTTCTCCCTGAGGCTTTGGCTGTTTCTCCATGGGATCCACTGATCCCACAGCACTCTCCAGATGGTGCATCCAGCTCTGGGCAGCTTTGAGTCCTTGTGCCAGGACCCAAGGGCTGCCCTGTCCCCTACCATAGTTTGCAGCAATGACACAAGAGGGATTTCTCCTCCAAGGGGATGAAGTCTGGGATTAGGATGACCCCTGCTTGGTGTGGACAGGGCAGTCCACTTCCGTTTCTCCCTCTTCCATAGAAGAGGGGGCCTCTCTCCTGGCAATGCTGCTGCTCCCAGGGACAAAGGCTGTGTGTGCCTAGGGAGCTGGCTGCCTGCACAGACAGGCAATTAATCAGTGGCACGTGTCCCTCTGCTCATGGCAAAGGACAATCTTTGCTGAGCCCAGCAGCCCCCCTCTGCCCAGAGGATGCTGCGCAGGGTCCTGCCAAGGCCATAGAGCCAAAAAGTGAGAAAGACTTACGAGAGGTCACCGGGGTGCTGAGTGCCTGCTTGATTTGTGGCTTTTCCCCCCACTTCATTAAGCTGGTAGGGCTCCAGTCCCTGTGGGGTTAAACTCCAGCAAGGCTTGGCTATGGGGGGATGCTGCCAGCCACCACCTTGGGATGGAAACCCTACCAGCCCCATGGGCTGCTCTTTCACAAGTCACCTTGGCCACAGAGAGAGGGGTGGAGATGTCCCAGGGTACAGAAACCATCTCTGCCCTCCAGCTCCTTGCTAACACAACACCTCCGGCTGCCTTCCCCTGCACGCTGGGATGCGGGATACAGCAGCTGGGAGCCAGCAACTAGGGATGAGGGTCCCTGCCTGCTCCTGGTCACCTCCCCAGCCTTACCATCTCTCCTCTGTCCGAGGACTCCTGAGCACACGCTTTGCCTGCTGGAGAAGCTGGCATCCAGGCTTTGCCGAGTGACTATGCAATTCCTTTGCCTCCAAGCGGGAAGCCGGCTGGGCATGCCAGCTAGCTCGGGAACTCACCAGCCACAGACTCAGGCTACGCTTGCCAGGGAGGACTAATGTCCTTGTCCAGCCCTCAAAACCCCCTTCCTGACACAACCAACACGCACACACATGGGAGCCCCTAAAGCCCTTCAACCATCCAGCTACCACCAGTAGAACCCAGCACCACAAACAGGTCTGAGTGGACCTCAACCCCAGCCCCTACATTTGCTGCTAATGGAGGAAAATAGACACCTGGGGCTGCTCCTTCTCCACCTCTGCTCCGCAAACATCAGCACCACCCGCTCCTTTTCCCTTTGGTCTCCTTTTGAGGCTTTCCCACCGTGCTGCCTCTATCGGAACCTCGGCTCACACCAACCTGCAAGAACACGTTTCTCTCCGAACAGCCAGAAACAAACAAGCCCAAAGCAATAATTTGGATGGCGCTGATGTATTATTTATCCTGCAGCTCCCCAGGGGCAGCACTGAATCACTGTGAGTAAACAGCTCTGCTAGCCAGGGCCCAGAAGCGTGTTTGAGGCTCCAGCACTGATTTAACTTGATCTACAAGGGAGACTGTTGAAGGTGTTTCCATGAGCTGGTGCCCGTTGGCCCTGCATCAGTCCTTCTGCTGACCTGCAAAGCTGGCCTTCAGCCCCTGCTCTGCCTTAAACAGCCTGGCTCAGGCAAAGGGGTTGGTCACCTTTGTCTCTGCTTCTCATCCGGCAGGATCAGGGCAGCAATCCAGCAACCCAAAACTGGGGGCCTGTGGTACAAACAGCTTCAAGAGCCAGCGATCACAGAATCCCAGCCTGGTTTGGGTTGGAAGGGACCTTAAAGCTCACCCAGACCCAACCCCTGCCACAGGCAGGGACACCTTCCACTAGAGCAGGTTGCTCCAAGCCCCTGTGTCCAACCTGGCCTTGAACACTGCCAGGGATGGGGCAGCCACAGCTTCTCTGGGCACCCTGTGCCAGCGCCTCAGCACCCTCACAGGGAAGAGCTTCTGCCCAAGAGCTCATCTCAATCTCCCCTCTGGCAGGTTAAAGCCATTGCCCTTGTCCTGTCCCTCCATCCCTTGTCCAAAGCCCCTCTCCAGATGATGGGGCAGAGAGCATCTAATGGCCCACACCATGTCTCCAGAGAAGGGAACGTGTCTCTCTCAGCAAGCCCCAGGCTGCTTTTGACACTGCAGAGAAAGGCTGATCCCCTTGGGAGGGGAAGGCATGACCCTGCCACCACCCTCCCTTCCAAATCAAGTGCGGGGAGGACACAGGGCTCATTCCAGCGCCCGGCTAACCCCGCTGGTCCCTCTGCCTGGCATGCACTGCAAACCCCACCGGCAGCGCGCATCAATGGCCCAATTGTCAATTGAAATGCTAACCCCGGGCGAGGGCTGAATGGGAGAAAGAGCAGCTTTGTGCTTCCCAGCGAGATGGAGGGTACCACAGCAGCCTGAAGAAGAATGATATTAAATGAAGGCGAAGGAGGGAGCCTAGTGCATCTCGGAAGGATGCCTGCGGGGTGAGGTCACGGGGAAGGAGAGGAGTGAAGAAGGAGATGCTCTGGATGAGATGAGGGCAGGGAAGCCCGTCCTTAACACACAGAGCAATGCAGATAACAGAAAGAGCAATCCTGCTTCCCATGTGATAGGGTGAAACGTGCCTGCCTCCTGAGACCTGGCTTGGGCAAATCCAGCTTTAATGATACACCAAAGTCTCTCTAGCTCCCTCACAAAGGCACCAAGAGCCTTCCCAGCACCGTGATAAGGTTAGGTTTCCACAGCTTTGTACAGGGGAAGCGTGCCCCCCACCTCCAGAACAACCAGAGAAGCAGCATGGGCACGCAGCCTGGTTGCAGGCAAACTCAGCTCCCATCCCGGCTGGAGCATTGACTCAGCTGCAGGGGTCCTGCTTCCTTCCACACTCCCCCATCGCTCCAGCAATGCAGACACGCGCTGAGGCCCTGGCGAACTGCTGTTCACCGGTGCTGGGGGAGGACCACATCTCCTTATGGTGGAGGTGATGGCTCCTATCTGCACTGGTGCTAGCATTGTCAAATGGGAAACTGAGATAAAGCTTGGGAAAGATAAAAAGGGAAGGAAGACAAGGGAAGAACCTGATGCAGACAAGAGGCAGATCCTTTACTTGCTGCTCATAAAACCCTGAAGTGGGACCCCCATTGGTGTATGAAGAGGAGAAACGCGAGCGTGGGGTTTACATGCTCCTTGGCATCACCCACACCACTGCCTGTGTTCTCCCAAATCCTGCTGCTATTCCCTGGGGACACAGGGCCGGGCCACCCGCCAGACGGCAAACTGGGATGCCAAGCGGCACAGCGCGGGAGCTCGCCACCGCGGCCACATCTCCGGCGCTGCCGTGCTTCCCGACGCCAGGCAATGCGCCCGGCAGCCCCTGGAGCTCTCCTTGCTGTAGCACATTGTAAGACACTCAGTCATCACCACCGTGCATCCTATGTGACGCTGGTGACACTGCCACCTGCTCTGCTGACAGCACGCTCCTGCCTGAATCACGGCACTGGTTGTATCCTTTCCTGGTCCCCTCCTTCCCCAAACAATTCCTCATCTCCCACTTTTATTTCTTCCTTCCTTTTCAAGTAGACGGAACAGATTATGACCTTGCTAGCAGCGTGTCTCTGCTGCAATCTGACTGGGACTGGCTCTGGCGGCAGAAGGAAAAGCCGCCTGCTCCGTGCTGACTCAAGGGCTGGCAATGCTGGGAGTCCCCTGGGTCTTGTCCTCTACACCTGTGCCAGGAGCACTCATCTCCCAGCAATGTGGCCCGGCCGTGAGTCAGGGCTGACTCTGTGCTCCAGGGAACACCTGCTTTTGGGAACAGAAGAGCCGTTTTGCCTCGAGGACATCCATCCCTCTTCCGCTCCTGCTTCCCCGCACACACAGGATGCATGACAAGCAGCTCAGCGCAGAGAAACCAGCCGCTATCCCTGGGACTGAGAGTCACATCCACTGCCCTAGTCAGCCACCTGGGGGTCAGGACTCCCGATCCCAGCTCTGACAACACCCCGCAGGGCACTTCCAGTTTCACTATTGAAAACTGGGAGAACAATGCCTGGATTTCCTACTTGCGTGGCCAGTATCAGCTCCG